TGAATAGAGTCGTTAAAAGAGAATCTTCCTGCATTCTTATATCCCTGAAAAAAAATATTTATGTAATGTAATTATAACCTTTGACCTTTGATATGTACCATTTTAGGAACAAAGTAAGGCTATATGCTTACACCGAGTGAATAATGGCTATATTATATTAGGACAGAAATTTTAAGCACAATTAATTACTTTGGAATTTTCTATAAATTGAATTAAAACTATTTTTATTGGATTACTATTCTTATCAAATTATATTGGGCGTAATTTTCATCAACATATATGCAAATTACCTTTATTTATTAAAACTATATTCCATTTTGATAAAGATTGCTAACTCAGTAAAAAAAAAACTTTATAAACAAGTACAAATCTTTTCTCTTGTATTATACATGAGTATTCAAACTCAGTAAATTACACTCAGTCTCAAAAATTGTTACCGATTTTTTACGAGACCGAGATTGTTAATATATTTATCGGCTATTCTATTAAAGTAGTAACGAACAATCAATGGAAATTCATCACAGAAAGAGAGAACATAAAAGCTATAGCACACTGTTGAAAAATCACTAAATGTTGTAAAAATATTTATATATGCAAATTAAATACCAACAGTTTAAAAGCCATATTATTTCAAATGCATATATATATATATATATATATATATATATATATATATATATATATATATATATATATATATATATATATATATATATATAAAGAGAGAGAGAGAGAGAGAGAGAGAGAGAGAGAGAGACTAAGATTGTACTATTCATCATATTTAATATTATGACTGCATTCTTTTCTTTTTACCGGATAATTCAATAAATGGTAAGAGAGAGAGAGAGAGAGAGAGAGAGAGAGAGAGAGAGAGAGAGAGAGAGAGAGAGAGAGAGAGAGAGAGAGAGAGAGAGAGAGAGAGACAGACAGACAGACAGACAGACAGACAGACAGACAGACAGACAGACAGAGAGAGAGACAGAGAGAGACAGACAGACAGACAGGCAGGCAGGCAGACAGACAGACAAACAGGCAGGCAGACAGACAGACAGGCAGACAAACTAACGTCGTACTATACATCATATTTAATATTATGACTGCATTCTTTTCGTTTTACCAGATAATTCAGTTTTTAAAATAAATGGTCTCATTTCAGTTTTAGCACATGGCATATTTTAGAATATTCCTCGTGGTCATTCAGCTCTCGGAATGGGTGTCGTGGCACAATAAGAATCCTACACCCTAAGAAACATAATTGCAGATGAGGTTGTAGTTTCATGTTATGTGAAATTCATGAAATTCATTGGTGATTTCTTTATTTGCTTGATGCAATTTAAGATTTTTAAAATAGCACATAAAACAAATTCAGGTATTTCACACGTTACATTACTAAAATGTGTGTGTTTAGTCTTCAACACATTCATGAAGAATGGTCAGTTAAGTGCAGAGAAAAATGATAATTTGATGACGCTCCGAAAATGAATTTAGATCATCAATCGGGCATTACAAAAGCAAGCTTTCTAAATACTACTACTATTGCTACCTCTACTACTACTACTACTACTACTACTAACACTACTATATATATATATATATATATATATATATATATATATATATATATATATATATATATATATATATATATATATATATATATATATATATATATATATGCATATGAAGTAAGTTTTTTTTTATTTTGGGTTAATGTCTCCCAAAAAGTATTATTATTTAGGAAAGATGGAAGAATACACCAGACTTATAAATAATTCTTTGATTGGAAAGAGCTACGGAGTGTAGAAAAGGTTTCTGCGTTAGTCATTTATTTTGCGTCTAGTTGTTCTTTCTCAGAAAGTCAAGAAAAAGTTGAGACCAGGTTTATAAAGAAGTTTGTAAGTTATGAAAGTGATTTTAAAAATTTGCTCATGTATCTGTACTACATTTGTTATTTGACAGGCTTGTAAGTTCTATATTAAATTCAGCAAACATTTGGAGATTTGCAAAAGTTAAAAGTACATTTACCGTTTAGGGTACAATTTAACAGTTCATTAAGAAACTGAGAAATACCTGGCATAATACAGTGTACTTAAAATTATTTTATATTTGATTAAGTTTAATTGTACTTAAAGTACTATATTTTTGCGAAATTTAGCAAATATAAGAAAACAAAACCTTGTTTTAAATATTGTTGAGAAAAGTCATGATTCTAAATAGACACCCAGAAGCCCAGATTATTATTATTATTATTATTATTATTATTATTATTATTATTATTATTATTATTATTATTATTATTATTATTATTATTTAAATTTTTATGAGAAATGGTTGCAGAGCTTATGTGAATTACCACAGTAAATCTGCTTACACTCATAGACACACTTTACTAGCCAATTCTGAAGGCTTTAAAATTGGGACATATCTCCTGGTGAAAAATATTTTAGAGAACCAGCGACTCCTAAACTTCCTTTTAGAAATTATTACAAATATTTTCATAGTAAATATCACTCTAGAATGTTTTTCTCAACATTTGTTTAGACATTTCTAATTTGGAACTATTACTTAGCCATGGACTAAATAATAGTATGAAATAAAGAAGAACAGTCATGATAAAATGCAAATTTAGTACTAAAATAATATTAAAATTAATGTCATAAATGATAGCTATTCTAAAAATTATAAAATGGTATTTTTATTATTATTATTATTATTATTATTATTATTATTATTATTATTATTATTATTATTATTATTATTATTATTATTATTATTGTTCTTATTGTTGCTATTATTTTTAGTAGTAGTAGTAGTATGTTTTTTGTTGTTGTTATTATTATTATTATTATTATTATTATTATTATTATTATTATTATTATTATTATTATTATTATTGTTGTTGTTGTTGTTGTTGTTGCTGATTTTTTTTACTATTATCAGCAGTAGTAGTAGTTTTGTTGTTGTTGTTATTATTATTATTACTTTTATTATTATTATTATTATTATTATTATTATTATTATTATTATTATTATTATTATTATTATTATTATTATTATTAATATTATTATTATTATTATTATTATTATTATTATTATTATTATTACTATTATTATTATTATTATCATTATTATTATTATTATTATTATTATTATTATTATTATTTTTTAGTAGTAGTAGTAGTAGTAGTAGTAGTAGTAGTAGTAGTAGTAGTAGTAGTAGTAGTAGTAGTAGATGTAGTGGTATAGTTGTTATTATTGTTATTATAATGATTATTATCATCATCATTGCTGTCGTTATTTATTATTATTATTATTATTATTATTATTATTATTATTATTATTATTATTGTTGTTGTTGTTATTATTATTATTATTATTATTATTATTATTATTATTATTATTATTATTATTATTATTATTATTATTATTATTATTATTATTATTATTATTATTATTATTAAGGAGGGCGAAAGATTAAAATACATTTCTAAAATTGTTGATTCAGAGATGTGAAATTTTTTTAAAGTAAGAGAACAATAATGTGATTAAATGGTAGGAAAAACAGATTCAACGCAGATGAATTTTTGGAATGGCTCTAACCTTTTCAGCAACAAATTTGATGTATATAAGTAACATATACTTGACCTCTAGATCATTTCGCCTCATCCAGCTCCAACACCGTTTAAAAGAAACTAAACGAGTGTTGGTATTTTCTTTTAAAATCAGCTCTAATTAAAGACCTTTTGAACCCAATTCAGAGTTGCTTTGTGTATTTTTTCAGATATTAGTCTTGTAATGAGTTTTAATAGTTATTATGGAAATATTATTTAACTATAATCAGAATTCAACTTTTATGCTTCTTAAATTAATATGCAGGCGAAATTGTAGTGAACACTAGAACCAATCACTGTGCTAGCAAAATAGCAAATTGATGTGAATACTTAATTATGCACCTAAAATGAACCGATCATACATAAACATTGGTCATTTTGTCAGTTTAATTTTTTAATTGAATTTAAATTTTGTGGCATTTTAACAACCGTCGGGATGATACGTGAACAGCATTTTCGACTGATGAAACGAATACAAATATTTAAATAAAATTACTATATATACAGTGTAGAATGTCATCAAGGTATGTCCTCGTGTTTTCTATAAAATAATAAAATGTGTATTTTTAATAATTCCTTCTTTTAAAATGTTGCAAAATGCTGATTTCCCATGTAATGAGCAACTACTGTTCTACGATTACCTTCTTGTTGTCTTATGCGTGATTAACATACCATTTAAAAACGAGGTTTTGTACCGTTACGAGAAGCGTTATAAATGCCATCTAACAGTTGAAAGTTGTATCGTTACAAGAAGAGATCAAAAGCCATATAAAAGTTTTGTACTGTACCATGACAACAATCAACCAAAATGATACAATAGCAAAACATTTTACCGTTACTTGAAGCTATAAATGCTATATATATCCTGCATTTGACCAGTATAATAAGCAATCAACAAAGCCATATATATTTTACCATTTAAAAAAGCAGCAAAATAGCATGTGTCAAAACTCTGTATCATTGCAATAAGTGATCAAAATGCCGTATAACAAGAAAATTTGTACTATGAACAAGGAGCGATCGAAATGTTACAGGAAACATATTTTTTTTACAATTACAAGAAACTATCAAAATGTCATACTGAAGCAAGAATTCGCTTTAGATACAGTATAGGTACAAAGCGCGCGCGCGTGTGTGTGAGTGTGTGTGTGTGTGTTTGATCTTTAACCTAGGTAGCATTGACGATTATTCAGTCATATTGTTGCGCTGTTTGCAGTGTGGCAGTTTATAGTGATGTCTAACACTTGGCATCGCGCCGCAGGTATGTAGCATGATGTCACCACATACAGTCACATTATCCTGACACAAGGCAGACTAGTCCAAACACTATCTTCTTAAAGCTGAGCGCTAATCGAAGCAGCTGTTAGTACCATTTTTATTTCTTTGATATGACTCGGCCGGTGTTCTAAACCTGGACCTACCGCATCCGAGGCGGACACTCTAGCCACTAGGCTACTGGATCGGTCATAGAAATAAAAACGTAAGTGCATAAGTACCAATAGTTTTAACAAACTGGCGACCATTTATGCAGATTTAGAAGTAATGTTTGTTCTTCCTGTATTTATGTATTATGGCATTCATTTTAAAAAGTACTATTCAAATTCAAAGAATTTGAAAATAGTAACCTGCTTACATACCTGTGTGTGACCTCGCGCATGAAAAATGTTGCTGTTGCTTTTATTGTTGATCTCGTAAGTTGCCCAAACAGACGAATTCTCTGTTATGTAGTATATCGGTGACGATATAGTACTAACGCACCTAGCCAAACAGTTTGTAGTTCGATATACTGAACTCTACCGATTATATTACCACAAACTGTGACAGGGACAAATAGTCTGTACATACATTTTGACTTTGACCGTATTACCTATCAGAAATACGAGATACCGTAACTTAAAAGAGGTAAGGTTAGCGATCCTTTCAACGTAATTAAGTACAGAATATGCCATGTTACTTAAAGTAAAGATATAGACCTGGAAGTTTCCTTATTGCTGGATTTTAAATAACAAACACCCGCTATTGTAGGGCGATATTTAAACCAATAAACTTGATATGATTGCATCATGATCATCGGTAGAATGAGATGAATGGATAGCACCCAAATAAAGAAAAAAAAAACAAAACAAATTCTGACGTCTCCAGATGGATCAACTGATCATTCTACAACAACATTTATTGATCTGCTGTTTCCAATAGATGAGAAATTAATATATGTTTTGTATTTTTGTAAATTGGATTTGTCTGCATGCTTGGTTTCAAACGGCACTTTTGACACATTATATCGTGCTGATGAAATATAAACTAAATGACATTTCCAGTGAAATAATGAGGCAGTTAACATCGACTGGCCTGGGCCGGTATTGAACCCACAACTCTTTTACTACTAGTCCAAGGCTACCAATTAATTTACCGCCGCTGTTTTTTTTATCGCGTTTTCCTTTTGCATACATACATACATACATACATACATACATACATACATACATACATACATACATACATACATACATACATACATACATACATACATACATACATACATACAAGACCGCTCCAGTGGCATATTGGTTAGAGCGTCCGCCTCTGATGCGAGAGGTCGCATGTTCTAACCCCAGCTGAGTCATACCAAAGACTCATAATAAAGTTACTAAGAGCTTCCTCACTAGGTACTCACCATTAAGAAGTTAGTGTTAGAACTGTTTGGCCTAGTGTCAGGATAATATGATAGGTGGGATATCATGCTACATGTCTGCGGCACTATGCCCATGTGTCAGACATCGCGATAAACTGTCGCACTGCAAACATCGTAGAGATATGACTAAAAATTTTAAAGTTACATATAATATCCAAAACACACACACACACACACACACACACATTCACACGCATGTATACATACATATAGTAAACCGAGCGACAGAAGGTCTTTGTCATGCTGCCCCAGACGACCTGCATCTCTCATTGTATGCAGCCTGACAGCCGGTGGAGGTTTTTCTCTCTAAATTTCTTCTTAAATAATCTTTATATCTTCAGACTCATTCTAAAAAAGACGTTCACATTCTTTGTACAAAGCATACTGAATATAAAAATGACTTTCTCAATCGGTCTTGCTTGATCTTGCCCATTCGTTGTTGTTTTATGTCAATCTAGGTCTGTGTGAATAATCTTCCATGCCTTTTAAGAATTTTTTCTTAAAATATTCCAGGTTGCAAAGTCGTCAAATAAAAGTCGGCCGGCTTAACAAATGTTTTTTTTTTTTTGTTTTCAATTCAAAGGTGTTCGAGGCACACAATGGCAAGTTAGTGTCTTCGCTCATTCCGGCAACTTTCAATGTTCGTGTGTCATTGAGATCAAAGAGAAACAACAATAATAGATGGGGAAATCGTCGATATGCTAGAGGCATCAATCTCATTGTTCTGATCGTTCAACATAGAGTAACAAGGGTTAACCCAAAACTACCTGAGAAGTGAGATGGGGTGTGCAGAAGAGGAGAATACTCTCTCTTCCTAAAAGATTTCAACCTACATATCTTTTTTGCAGAAAATTTACAAAGTATTGAAAATGCAATCCATCGTAAGCTTTGAATCTAACTTTGCGTTGCTTTATGACCTTGATCAGAGTCAGGCTCAGTTTATAAAGAAATTAAACAAAGAAGTTAAAAGCTCTTGCGTGTCCTGTGGCATAAATTGCATGAATTTTAATAACTATTTGACTGGTTACATAAACCAATGTACGTTTGATACGATTGTATTGTCTTAAACACGGTAAAAAAAGATGGAAAACCAACAAGCTTTCTAGAATTCAATAACTTTTTTCCCTTGAGTAAAAGAGGGAAATTGTGAAAGAACTTACAGTATTGTGAATTAAATTCCAAATAGTCTTAAGCGTTCTACCAAAAGTCCAAATATGTGAATATCCAATTAAATCCCAGTGGTATTCCAAATAGGTTCCAAAATGGAATGTGTTTATGTGCCAGTATTTTTGAACGTACTAATGTGCCAATAAGTGGAATATGGTCACGTATTAACAGGGTGCAATCAGTCATACAAAGACAATGAATGAACAATAAAAATACTTGAAAAGAAAACATCAAGCATCAAGCATAAATACCTTTATTAACAAGCTGAGTGTAAACTATACATCAAGCATGAAAATAAATTGGATGACTTACACCGTTAGGTAAATTTGAATAGCATGTTCAATAGTCAAAATTTACGATTTAAGATTATTTAAAAAGTAAATACTAGGTCATGTAAACTCATACCGTTTTGCACCCTGACTTATTCAAGTTTAAAAAGGTTGAAGCCAAGTTATAACATTCATTGGCATTGTAGGCATGATGGTAATTAATAAATACCGGTACCCTTTATGAAAACTTTTATATTAATAAATCATGAAATCCAAATGAATAAAATCAATCAAGGCTCATCCATCAACCATTTCTAGAGCACCAGCTGATAAATGAGTAGAATATTTTTTAAATGAAATAAGTTTTTATCATACAAAAATAAAACTCATTTACCTACAAAACAGTAAGCACTTTTAAAATCTACTCTTGCAAATATAATGATGATATGCTATAACTAGGCAGTATTGGTACGCAGCTGCCGTATGTGAAATAAGTGATCGAAATTTATATAATGGAAATGGTTCAATATCGTCAATATATTAAATCATGTTTTTTGGAATAACAAAACTCCTGTCGTAATGCTTAATAACATTGCCGAGTAATAAATCATTTATTCAACAGACAATGACATTGATCAAGAGACATTTCAATTAACTTGTAAGAACTTGTGTATCCCACATAAAGATTGGCTATATCTAACAAGAAGAATTTCTACAACATCTAGTGCAAACTTTTACAAAATATTGTAGAGAGGTTAGTATGAAAACAAAACAAATAACACAATTAGAACACGATGCAGACAGTTGAAACAAAGTACAAAGAAAAAACTGTTATGACCAATGGTAGAAAAGAGAACGTTTCTACATTACGATTGTAAGTTTTATAATACTTGCTTAAAGAAAGGAGAAGAAACAGGTTGCATATAACTCTCTCCACGAGTTAGTAGCGGATTAATAGGAGAAAGAATAATTCGGATAAACATAGTGATAAATCACGTAAACTAAATTACGGAGTATTACGTTATTTTCTAAAATACAAAAAAAAAAAATGGAAATGAAATGCAGGTAAACAAGGATACTACTCAGCTGAAAACTTTAAAATGATAGAATAAGACATAAGATTAGGTTTCAGCTGCAAAGATTAGGCTAAGCTGTGCAATTTTCAAGGAAGGTATATTTTGTGTACTCAGTAATACGGTCATGCAATCCTCGTGTAAATACTGTTTTAAAAAGTGGAACTAAAGATGGTCAGAGAGACGACAAAAAAGAATTGAAATCGACAAAAGGTAGCAACGGTGACAGAGAAAAGGGTGGTTAGAAAAATCAAGGCACGGACAATGACTGAATAATTAATTGTCAGTTCTGTCTTCTACAAAATATGAACCGGAATTTGTAATTTAACATTATATCCATACCTCGATAAACACAATGATCAATTCATACAATTACAACCATTTTAATTTTTTACCCATTTGTTTTAGTTCTTACTGTTAAATCGACTTTTTATAAATACGCCTTTGAATGATGTCCGTTTTCGATCATAAAACGGACGTGTTCAAAGACAATTTTAAGAAATGACATCATATCGTAAACAACATGCTAAGATAGGTCTCTTTCACGTGAACACAAATTTACTAAATGCTCTTTAAATTAAAATAAATAAAGAAAATTATTGTAATTTTAAAAAGAATAATTTCAATCGTTATGAATCGACCGAATTTTCTTTAATCTGACTGGATACAAATGGTCATGCATACAGGTCAAGAAATTTTTGTATACATCGATATATTCTGCGGAATACTTTTGGTTACCAGATTCCAGGTAATGGTATGTGTTTTATTTATACCAATATCTTACAACATAATAATAATAACAAGAAGCCCAACCAACCAACCGTTGTGCTTCCAACCAAAATGCGCAACCACCTGATTAAAATCGCCCATTAGAAGTTTAACAAACAAAAGTAATTTCAGACATTTCTGCATTGCAAAACTCGTCTCTTTTGCCAAAGAAAATATATGGCAGTCTTTACAAGCCAATCTTGAGAATTATTGCAGTTTGATTCGACAGTGTTTCACCGGCAGTTATTAAAGGTCCGAGTTATATGTCGAGCAAGGCATCCCACTAAAACTGGACACGATTTTCTGTTGAAAGATCGGAATGTGTATAAAACAAGAACAGCGGATGCTATAACAACACGTGGCACACGCAAGAGTAATGTTAGAAAGAAAGGAATAGCCTAAAACAATATCAATCGATTTTAAAATAATAATCATAATATAGGTTACTGCATTTGTGTGGGAAAATATGAACGAGTTTTTTTTTCGGATGGCT